CTATTAACTGTAAATGCCTAGGGATACCTCCATACAGACTTTTCTTTCTTCTTTTAGTACAATTCACTGGAAACCTAAGTCAAATGTGAAGTCCCCCAAAATTACAGTGTAAGACTGTAGACCAACTTCCGTATGCAGTGCACTATAGGCTATGGAGGAAATGGTCAAGTATGATTTGATTGTGGTTTAATGTTAGGATCCAGAGAAGAAGAAATGTACAGTCATTTATTTCTCTGCCCTGACTGTCCAGGACCAGGTGGTTGGGGTGCAGCTAATAGGCTCGATTACTCCTACGATGACTTCTTGGACGCCGTGCAAGAAACACCTCCAAGCATTGGCAAAGCCAGATCTTCACGGATTAAAAGAAGTGCCCCATTATCTGACCACAAAATTAAGTTAATTTTTAACATCACAGGTAAGGCTACCCTGTCTGCACGAAAATGGAATAATGATGTGAAATTCTTGGCTAGTAATCAGTTTGTCAAATCTCCCGTGTGTTAGCATTATTCGTCAACAACTCTGGAACTGAGAATTAGAGGGCCAACACAATGAACTAAGGCTTGTCATGTTTTGCTATTAATATTGCAAAAATATTTTAAATCTATTTTCCTGAAGGATATGTGATGGTTCTTATAGCAACAACACCCTGCTGTGTTCCTACCTAGGCAAAGTGAACTAAGGCATGTTTTTTAAATGCAAGAATTTAATATGCTGTGAATATAATAAAGAACTCCCCTAAATGGGGTGGAGATCCAGCACCCAAGAGAAGGATTCAGATAAAATGTTTTGTTCTTACTATTATCTCTGCACTTAGTTGTTCAGGGAGTAGCGGTTGGATTTATTTGGAATTGATTTTTCCTGAAGGATTTTTGAACATGCTGTTTCTATTTGGTAAAGACTAACTCCAAATGACTTCCTGAAACCCCAGGGGTCTGTGTTATGTTTTGTCTGTTTTGTTTTTATCTCAGCTAGTGTGCCGTTACCTGATGAAAGAAATGATACCCTTGAATTGGAAAATCAGCAACGACTCATTAAGACCTTGGAAACTATCACAAATCGACTGAAAAGGACCCTCAATAAAGAGCCCATGTATTCCTTTCAGCTTGCTTCGGAAATGCTTGTAGCTGACACCAATTCACTAGAAACAGAAAAAGCTTTCCTCTTCTGCAGGCCCGGCTCAGTGCTGAGAGGGCGCATGTGTGGTAAGACTTGTTCTGTGATCAAAAATATCTAGAGTCTATTGGGTCAAATAAGATGGGTACCCCACTGTACCCCAATAAAGGGATATTGAAATGAAAGGTTTGGCTGCTGTTATGGGATTGTCATCATTACTATTTTGTCTCAAGAGTCACAGTAACCACTATTGGCCAGGACAAGAAATCTATTTCAGGTGAGGCACTCAAGTCATATTTTTATTTATAGATCTTTGGACCTCACAGTTTTTGGCAACAGATCCAATAATAATAATTAATACTTTCTGACCACTTATGTATACCAGTGGAGACCCCTCCTGTTTAATCCCATTTGGCACCTCAGTGAGGTTCTGTTTTATTAAGAACACCTTTTACAGGTGAGTAAAGCAAATCCAGAGTGGTGAGAAAGTTACCCGGTAACACCTGCGCATTAAGACAGCTGTGGTATAGCAAAGACTCCCACCCAGGCAGTCAATGCAACTTTTTTAAATTGGTATAAAATTCACGTAACATAAAATTCAACAAGGCATTAAGTGCATTTATGATGTTGTGTGACCGTTACCTCTACTTCCAAAACATTTTCACCACCTTCAAAAGAGACCCTGTACCCATGAAGCAGCCACTCCCCACTCTCCCTCCCCCC